TGGAATAAAAAAACATTAAATTTCATTAACTTTGTCTTAAAATTTGACAAATTTTCACCTTTACCCCTAATAAATGTTTTTAAATTTCATTACTAATATTTTTATTTAACATATTTAATAGGGATAAAAATATAAAGAGGAGCATTGAGAATTAACAAGTACCCTATAAATATGATTAAATTTTTTTTCTTTTTTTTGCCCTATAAATAAGATCAGAGGAGTACATAATAGTATAGGATTACCCTCTCTTTCATATCATTAAGAAGATTAAAGATCTTATTATGAAGAATTAAAATGTCATCTTAGACCATGTTTTCAAAAAGAGAAATAAGGTGTGCAAACTAGCTTGCCCACCAAGTGAATCAATGTAGCATGAAGACTACAGTTATCAATGACCCTGTTGGACGTTGGATGCAAGGACATCTAAATTTTTTACATGAATTAGTTAAGGTGTGTTTGATTGTTTGTTGAATGGTTGCGTACGTGACATTCTCTTTTCCCGGGAGGAAAAAGGTGGTTTTGACCGGGTCAAAAAGGGTTCATGATTTGTGAAGATGATGTTCCTATTTTGTTGAAATTATTTTAAAAAAATATAATAAAATTCATCTAAAATATATAAATAATAATTTAATTTTTTAAAATATTATAATTCTTTTAAAATCTCTGAAAGTTTTTCCATCATTAATAAATTTATATAAATTATTAAATTATCTTTGTTAAAAATAAATAATTCATAACTTTTCTTCTTACATTCGCAACAATGTTACAGTAAATAAGTAATTTAACATGTGAAGTTGTGATTTGCTGTTGTATTGTTGAGAATATAAAAAAAAAGTTGCGAATATAAGAAGACAAGTTATAAATCATTCATTTTCAACAAGAACAATTTGATAATTTATCTACATTCATTAAGAATAGAAAAGTCTCTGAGGATTTTAGAGAAATTATAATATTTTAAAATATCAATGTATCATTTATATATTTTAGGGAGATTTTCTCATTTCCAAGTTATTTCTGCATACCTTCCTCTTTTATTTTCAACTAGTAGAGGGAAGTTTTGCTTTATAAAACCAGAAATACAATTTGCTCAAAAAAAAAAGAAAAAAGAAAAAACCAGAAATACAAGAAAGAAGAGGTTTGTACTTTGTACTCATTTGGATAGAATTAAAAAACTAAACTCACACTTAGTTACTAAAAATGAATATAATAAAATGAATTAAAAAATTAATATAAAAATAAATTAAATTACCATTCTTTCTTATAGTAAGCATAAAAAAACTCATTAATATATACCATTAGTGTGGAAATTATTATACCATAAAAAAATCTCATGAATTATTATTCTTAACTCCATGGACTAAATTACCTTTCTCTCTCATGAATATGGTTCATCATCCTTTTAATAATCTCATTTTTACCTTCATTTTTTTTCAATATATTCTATTTTATTCCTTTATAGTAACCAAATGAGACTTACCACTTGTCATTGACATGTTATTAGATAACATTTGAGTTCATGGCTAACTTATGAAGAAAGAATTTTGCTCCTTTAGAAAATAATTTTTAAAAAAAATAATGCCTCACTTATTAGTATAGAATATCCAACACCCTCGAATGAAAGTACAGTGGAAAAATATATTTTAGCCCTTAATTTCATGTGTCAATTTTATCATAGTTTATCTATTATAATTTGAATTCTTAGCTATCAATTTATTATGATTATTAATTTCAAAAAAGGATATATTGAAAAGTTACACATACATACATACATACATACATACATATATATTACAATTTTAAGGATATAATTAAATTTGTTAGTAAACATGAAGTTGATTAATTTTATCTTTTGTCAAGAACTGGCGTAGTGTTTGCTATAATTGTGTGTAAAAATGTATGTTACAGTTTTAATTTTTTTTAATAAAATATTCATCTTTTAATTAGTGCATTAATTGTGGGAGACAAAGGTAAGACGAGGGGAAATATTGACGAAATGATGAAAGTTAAAATATGAAATAGTTTTTGGCCAAAAAGAAAAAAATGAAAGAGTTTGTTGAATTGGGCACAAAAAGACCGCGATAAAAAATTTTCATCATTTCGTCAAAATTTCTGAACAATTTAGTTGATTGTTTCAAATTTCGATTAAATGATGAAAATAAAAAGAATAATAAAAATTTCAGTGTTTCAAATTTATTCTATAAATTTATTCTTATTAATTTAATTCTTTACATTTTATTAAATTATTATGTTAGTCCTTTAATTTCTAAAATCTAAATTGACTCTTAAATTAATATAATGTGTAAAGAATATTGATAGCTTAACATGTATATGTAGTTAGATAAGAATAAATTAGCTCTCAAATCAATTTAATAATTTTATCAATGTAGTCTCTCACACTACCTTTGTTTTTTTTTTTTAAATTTTTGAGTCTATTTTTTCTATGTTAATAATTACCTTTTATTTATTTATTGTCATTTAAATTCCTAAACAACAATTTATTACCATCATTAATTATATAAAAAGGTAAAATTGAAAGGTTTCAATTTTTTTCATAATTTCAATGTTATAACTAACATTTATTAGTAAACATGAAGTTTGTTAACTTCATCTTATATTTAAGATCAAATAGGATTTTTTAGGTGAAATGTATTTGCCCGTTTCTATAGTTTTACTTAATTTTGAATTAGGTCAATGCAATTTATTTTATTTTAATTAAACTCTTATATTTTGATTAATTAAATTTTTAATCCCTCAAGATTAAAATCCTAACATTTTCATTTAAAAAAACAAAATTAAGTAATTTTATATTTTTATTAAATAATTATATGAATTTAGAATTAATTACATAATTTTTATAAGTCAAAATTTATATAATTAGGTTGATTTTAAATATTTTCTATACATATATAATTTTCATAAAAATTAATAAAAATATAAATAGTGTATTAAATCAAATTTTCTTTTTCGGTCCCTCTTATAAGATACAATCTAGAAATATTGTTTGATCCTTAATGTAGGGTATTAATTATATTTTTTTAATATTATCCATATTTAAAATCATTAACTATGAGAGAGTGTAATATAAATTAAAATTTTATATTTATATAATAATAAAATTAAAAATTTATTATATTTTTATACTTAATTAATAATTTAACTATTTTTTCTTAAATAAAAACTAGATGGAGCAAATGAAAGGAAAAGAAAATGCTAACTGTGGATAAGAAATGTGCTAAATCACAGGTGCAAGTACAACTTCACTCTTCTGTCATTAATTTTGCAATAACAGGATGAAGCCTTCGTTTTTCCAAAAAGTTACGATCTTACTTGTTCAATTGTCATAGTTAATTAATATTCTTAACAGTTAATTATAAACTCCTCTTATTTTATTTATATAATAAAAAAAGAGTAATTATTTTGATCCTATTCATAGAAGATAAGGTAATTGCTTTGAATCTAATTACAGGAAAGATAGTATTTGTTTTAATCTTATTTATAGAATATTTTAATAATTATTGTGTCCAAATTTAACCATTTTCCTTATTAAATATTGTGAAGATTATTAGATATTAAAATATTGTATTTTTAATATATATATATATTTAATAGGAGTAAATTTGAAAACTTGTTTAATTTTTAAATACAGCTAATAATATTAAATGCTTTTCTTGATTTAAACAAAAATATTAAATATTAAAATTAATTTATAAATAAAATATAAAGAGTAATAAATTAATAATTAAGAAATCTTGAAGCCAAATAAAGCTACTTAAAATAAATAAAAAATAAATATATATTTTTTTAATTTGGGCGTGAGAAACATATAAACGGTCTTGGTACGGAGCCACTTTCCTTACATCTTCATGGAAAGTACTTCAAACATTAAACCGCGTTCGAAAACTATAAAAAGTATATTTTATTGAGTCAAAAGGAATTCGCCATCCACACATATTCATTATTTCATTGGACTTTCTTCCCTTGTTGGTAAAGGAAATTTTTAATTAATTTAAACCAGAAAAAAGCTTTTTGTAATCAGGACATAAAGAGTTCACATGATCATATCAGAGATGTTGGGGGGGGGGGGGAAGAAAAATTTTAATAAAGGCTTTTAATGAGATTTAATTTCAATAAAAAATTTTAAGATTTTTCTACATATGTAAAAGACTGAAATAAAATTAAATGATTGGCTACAATAATTTTATTGTTCTTGATAAAATTAGGCACATGAATAATTTATGCAAAAAAAATTAATAATTAAAAAATAAAAAATAAAAAATAAAAAATTTATGTTAGTAATACTCACAGCTCTATTAACAATAGTTATTAATTTTTCTATATGAATTGTTCATATTTTTAATTTTACCAGGATAATGAAATTATTTTAGTTAGCCCTTCAATTTTATTTTAGTCCACTACATATGTATAAAATTTTAAAATTTTAAAGATTTTAACTGAAATTAAATTAGTCCAAGGATTCTTCAGCAAAACTTTTCCAAAGGAACATTCGTATTTAAAGAATTTTCAAGACTTTCTAAAAATTTTTAATTACTTTAAACAAGAAAAGTGAAAAACACAGAAAAGAATTGATGTTGACTTGTAGTCAGAAAGAAATGGGAACGAAAGTTTTTCATTATTCCGTGGAAATTTCTTGTCCACCGGCAGCTTTAACTCGTAATGAAAACAATACCTCACTAGTCAATGCTCATAGGCTCATTTTTTCTACTTCCTGGAAATTTCCCTGTTAACATAAATTTGAACAATGGCTCAATATACTCAGACTTATTTTTCTGTTGTGTCTGTCTAATTCCCGGGATAAGCAAACTCTGCAACCAGCTTCAAGTCTTCAACCTTTGATTTGATTTAGTCACTCCCACCAAGGTATTCATCTGATCTTTCTCCTTCGTTCTCTAACAACTTCAACGCTATTCTTTCTTTTTTGTCTTTTTAAGAAAAAATCAACAACCTTTAAAACTTCGTTTTTTGGTTTTGGTGATTCAGCAATGGGTGCGTCTGCTTCTACTTCTGCTGCTTCTTCCCAAGTGAAATATGAAGTTTTCATCAGCTTTAGAGCTTCAGACATCAGATTTGGTTTTCTCAACAATTTGACCACGGCGTTGCGTGGAAAGCAGATAGATGTCTATGTGGATGACAGGCTGGAGAGAGGAGATGAAATATCGTCTGCACTTGACGAAGCCATAGAAGGATCAGTGATTGCATTAGTGATATTCTCTAAAGATTATGCTTATTCAAAGTGGTGCTTGCAAGAGCTTGTCAAAATCATGGAATGTAAGGCAGCAAATCAACAGATTGTGATTCCAATTTTTTAAGATGTAGATCCAACAGATGTCAGGCATCAAAAAGGCACTCATGCAGAATCATTTAATGATCATGAACAGAGGTTCAAGGATAACATGGACAGGTTGAAAATGTGGAGATCTGTCTTGAAGAAAATCGCAGCCTTATCTGGTCATCATTCATCAAAATTTCAGTAAGTTTTAGTTATTCAATACATCATTTTATAGAGTTTCTAAAGCCCTTTCTTACTTACCCCCAAAATGATTTAGAATATGGTAATACCAAATTAAGTCTATGCATTTATTATTCTTATATCATGAGTAGCTTGTAATTTTTTATATTTTATTTTTAATATGCTAGAAATGAATCACAGCTCATTGATGCAATAGTCCAAGATGTCCTAAAAAAATTGGAATATAACAACCCAGATGTGCTAAAATCCCAGATTGTTGGATTCGATCAAAATCTCACCAGTGTTGAATCATTAATGAAAACTACGTCACAAGAAGTTCAAGTTCTTGGTATTTGGGGTGTTGGTGGGATAGGCAAAACAACCGTTGCTCGAGTTACATTTGTCAAATTCTCTTCTCAATTTGAAAGCTGTTGCTTCATAAAAAATGTGAGAGAGGAATCAACCAGGATCAACGGTTTGAGTTATTTGCGTCGAAAGCTTCTTTCTAAGCTATTAGACCAAGATGAAGACCTCCCTATAAATATGAACGATGCAAGGAGAAGGCTGTTGCGGAAAAAAGTCTTGATTGTGCTTGATGATGTGTCCAATTCAAAGCAATTAAAAGATCTAGCTGGACAACAACCTTACTTGGGACCTGGCAGTAGAGTAATTATAACAAGTAGAGACAAGCATGTTTTTAGGAGTGTAGAGATTAATGATCAATTTTGAAGAATCACTAAACTTTTTAGTTTACATGCCTTCAAGCAAACTCACCCCAATACAGGATATGAAAAGCTATCAGAAATGATAGTTGCCTATGCTAAAGGCATTCCTCCAGCTTTAGAAGTTTTGGGTTCCTATTTTCGTTTTAGGGATAAGGCATACTAGGAGAGTGAGCTTGAGAAACTCAGACAGTGTCCCTGTCTAGAAATTCAAAATATATTGAAAGTTAGTTATGATGGATTAGATGTCATGGATCAAGAAATATTTTTAGACATTGCATTTTTTTCACTGAAGAATGCAAAAATCACATTACTCAAGCTTGCGGTTTCACAGCAGTTAGTTCATGGATAAAGCTCTCATAAAAGCAAATCAATATAGTGGAATTGTAATGCATGATTTGATATAGGAAATGGTTGAGCAAATAGCTCATGTGGAATGTATGAAACATCCTGCATTATGTAGCCAATTAAAAGATGCAGATGAAATTTGTGATGTATTAGAAAGTAACATGGTAAGTGAAATATATATCATTTTTATTTTTATTTTTATTTTTTTGCGATAACTTTTTAAATAATTACTATTATTTTTATTTTGTTTTCCAGGGAACTGATAAAATTGAAGGCATCATATTGGATTGGGATAGAATAAGACATTTATGATTGAGCCCTGAAACCTTCCAAAGATGAAAAATTTAAGACTTCTCAATTTTTTGTCCTAGGTTTCGGTATTATGATGCAAATAATTCAGGGCTTCCTTTTGATCTTGGCTTTCCTAATAAATTAAGGTATTTTCATTGGGATCTATATCTATTGGAGTCTTTGTCATTAGAAGGCTATTGTTTTGAGAACCTTGTTGTACTATGCATGGGACACAGCAATATTAAAAAGCTTTGGGATGGAGCGCAGGTACTTTTATATATACACTAATTGATGTGTGTGTCTCTCTCTTCAATTTAATTAAATTATTAGGCTTTTATGTGTAAAATCTTTTCGTTTCCATTGTCACAGGATCTTGTGAATTTAAAGAGATTAGATTTGAGTTGGTCCGAACAATTGATGGAGCTACCTGATTTCTCTAGGGCACGTAATCTTGAAGAAGTAGTTCTCACGGATTGTGAAAGTTTACATAGTGTTCATCCATCCATTTTATCTCTCCAATCTCTTGTTTTATTGGTTGTCTTTGGTTGCGGGAAATTAGAGAGTCTTGAAAGTGAGACTCATTTAGAATCTCTCTCTTACCTTGGTGTTTCACATTGCAAGAACCTCAAGAAATTCTGTTTGTCATCGAAGAAATTGGAAAACATATGTTTATTCGAATGCCGTGAAGTTGAAAGATTGCATTTGCTACCATTCGGAGGTTTCACGGAACTTAGAGGGCTTTATATTGATGATGGTGGAAGTTTAAGTGCCTTCCAATATGAGAGCTATGTGGCTTGACAAATCTTGAGGTATTTTTCATATAATATTTCTGACAGGAAATTAACACGGGGGAGATGTACTCCCTTTTTTATGCTTGGCCTAATTTAAAAGAACTACATTTGGTTAGTTGGAGTTACTTGTCGGAAATCCCTGACAATATCAAGGGATTAACAAGCTTGAAAACCATATCATTGTATAGATGCAAGAGGCTTAAGTCTATACTTGGACTTCCTCCCTTCCTTGAAGTATTAGATGCCAGAGAATGCATTTCATTGGAGACTGTATATTCTGATGACCCTCTAGTTCAAAATCCGTGTTACCTTGATTTCACGAATTGTATAAAGTTGAATGAGCATTCGGCTTGCTTTATTAAGAAACTAACTCTTTCTTCTTTGACTTCAACATGCAAGGATGAGGATGAGGATAAGTATTTGTTGAATGGTGGTGAAGCTTGTTACAATATTGTATTTATTATTTCAATATTTACAATATTGTATTTATTATTTCAATATTTACACCCTGTTGAAAAAAAAAGTATGCCTTTTTCCAAATTTTCTCCAATTCTTTTAATTTTTAAATACAATATATATTATTTATTATTTCTCTACATATATTTTTATACAGTACTGTACTTTAAAATGTATAATAACTATTGTAAATTATACCAACAATCCATGTACATATATATATATATATATATATTTGTTGGAAACAGATATATAATTTTTTTTTCGTAAGAGTGTACTGTTGCTATCCGCTTTGTTTTATTTTTCTATTTTTTGATTGAGCCTGTATTTACATTTTATTTGTGAGGATAATATATTCTCAGTCACCGAATTGCCCTATATAATTTTCATATAGACCCGATAACAAATTCTAAAGTGATTTGTGTGATTATAAAATAGGTTGTTTTTGGAATAAAATAAATTGTTGTTCATTTATAGCGTGTGAGACTTTTGTGAAATGAATGAAGCTATTTACGTTTGAAAACTTTTTACAACTTTTAAAAATTACCTTTAAACAAATTAAATCTGTTAGTTAAACCAAAAGTGAAATAAACAAAGGCATTATTGAAGATTATTCAAATGCTTCGTATAATTCTGTAAAACTCTAGTATTATCAACTTATAGGTAAGTGCATTTTCAGGCCCAGAAAAAAAAAATAACTTATAGGTAAGATCTTGTAAATAGGATTGGAGGAAGTAAAAGAGCAAAACACAAAGCTTGTTGATGGTATTTTAAGTTATGTAAGATTTGAAGGCTTAATAGACCACCCTAAGGTGAGTTCAAGCTAGTTTGTTTATTATCATCTCTTGTATGAGCATACATATTGGCTCCTTTATGACTAATAAATAAATCTTCTTCATTTTTTATGGTGTAATTTTGTTGCCTTGCTCTGTTTTGGCAAGGGTGTTGGTCTAAAAATGACTTAGGATTGTCTAAAAATGACTTGGGATTGAGAGTTTGTAAATTACTGCTGAAATTTTATGACTTTGTTAGTTAGCATTTTTTTGAATATTATGTTTCGTGACCTGATTAAGGTTTTGTCCTTGTGTTAACTTGTCTTGCTCTTTCCCCTAACGTGTGAGAATAAATTTGTGCTCATTCTATTCATTGTGCCTGAAATTTCAATCAATTTTTTTTTTTGTTGCATGTTGTAAAGTGGATCAAAATTCTGTTGAGCTAAAATTGCCCTTTTTGAACACCAGAATTGTGCATTAATTTGGGATGATGAAATTTTTAGTACTTCAAATTTGCCTTATTATCGATTTTGTTTTTTCAAGTTTAATTTTTATGAATTTTGTCCATCATGTTGTCTTAATTATTGATTTGATCTTTATTGTGTAAATAGAAGGTAATAATGTAAAACTCTGCTGACATGGTTAACAAAATAAAAAAAATGTAATTATTTAGATAGAAAAAAGATTCAAATGTTTTTAAAAAATAAAAGAACAAAATGTAGTGTAACAGACTAGCTTAATAAAAATTAAACTAATTTGATAGTTAACTTGTTTTCATTTGGTTTCATATACAAATCAAGTTATTAAAATACTTTACACATTAGATTAATTTGAGATAAGTACACACCAGGAAGGAAAGTGTAATGAACGACGCACTTAGCACAAGGTTTATTATTCCCTGTATAAAGAAGATACCGATAACCCTAGAGCTTATATACAATGAATAATGAACAGTAATAAATGAACACACATCAGATGGATTCTAAGTGCTAGCAGGATCTGCCCTCGGGTCCATGTGTTAACATCTTGGGCTTAGGTCTGTTGGGTTGAGCCTTATTGTTGTTCTTAGATTTGGTTAATGTTTTTACAAGGAGTAAATTTGTGTTTTAAAATGTAAAAGACTAATACAATGATAATTTAAAAAAAAACCTAAGGGACTAAATAAATGAAAATTAAAGTTCCGAAACCAAATTGATAATTAAGACACAATTTGATTGATTAAAAATTTTATCATCCCTTTAATTTTTGTTTCCCAACTTTGATTAGCATGAAGAAAGTTTCAAAATATTTATTTTCTCCTTGTGATCTTGACACGCTGTTTAATGCCTTTTTTGTTGATCAATTTCTGTGGCTTGATAGATCTTCTGGCATCTACCAGGTAAGAATCATAACGTTTCCCTTATGTTTGATTTTGTTTCTTGGATTATTAATGTGAAGCTTTCACCAAATATGAGTTAGAGGATAGAAATAGGAATTTAATTACTCAGTAAAGTGAATTCAAGTTTTTTAAACTTTTTATAGCTTTTGAAAAATACTTTAATCAAATTAAATATGTTTTTTTAACCAACAATCAAATTAAATATGTTAGTTATGCCAAAGTGAAATAGCAAGTGTATTTTTGGAAATAATTCAATGTTTCATTTAATTATCTAAAACTCTAGTATTAATAACTTATAGCTAGGTAAGATCTTTAACAGAATTGGAGGAAGTAAAAGAATAAAATACAAAGCTCATTGATGATATTTTAATTTATATGTAAGATATGAAGGCATAATAGACCATCCTAAGCTAAGTTAGAGCTGGCTTGTTCCTTATCATTGAGCATATTGGCTTCTTTATGACTAAAATAAATCTTCGTCATTTTCCATGGTGCAATTTCGCTACCTTGCTGTTTTCACATGGGTGTTAGTCTGAGCAAAATTCATGATTGAGATTTCACCAATGAAATTATATGATTTTAGATGTTTTTAATATTTTATTTGGTGAGTGAGGTGTTTTCCTTGTGCTAACTTGTCTTGTTCTTTCCCCTAATGTGTGAGAATAAATTTGCACTCAATCTGTTCAATGTGCCTGAAATTTCGATCATTCTTTTGCATATTGTAAAACGAATCAGAATTACGTTGAGCTAAATCTATTCCCTTATTGAACACTAGAATTGTGCTTTAATTTTTGTTCTGCAGCTTTTATGAGCATGAAGGAAGTTTCAAAACATTTATTTTGCTCCTTATCCTTACTTCGATATACTGTTCAATGCCTTTTTCTTTATTCTAGTCTAATAATGCATTTCTGTCAACCTTCTTGTTTGTTGATCAATTTTTTGTCACTTGGCGGATCTTCTAGCATCTACCAAGTCAGAATCAAAATGTTTCCTTAATACTTGAGTTTGCTCCTTGAATTATCAATGTTAAACTTTCACCTTGTAATTGGAGTTATAGGATGAAATAGGAATTTACTCGCAAAATTGAACTCAAGTTTTTGAATATATATTTTCCCTCCACATACTATTGAGAGGGGGACTTTGTGATGGTCTTGTAATTAATTGTTGAGATTTAAGTTGGGAGCATTTCATTTTAAATTTGTTGGCCTTGACATTGATATGTGGTTTGTGCAATGAAGTTTCTTCCTCCTGCCCCAAGAGCAAGTCCAAGTCCGAACTATAGTGAAGAAGAAAAAACATTCTCATTGTTGTGAAGTAATTATAGGTTTGTATGTTAATGTTTTTGGATGTGATCAGCGAATAAGAGCCATTTTGCTGATCATGAGGTGTCTTTGACATGTGAATCATATTTATAAAAAAATTATTTTGTAAAGACTTATAAAAAAAAGAAATTACTTTATGTTTGATTACAATAATAAAAGAAGTGATTATTAGTTATTTATTTATAAAATTTTATGATATTTTCATTTATTTTCTATTTTATAAAAATAATTTATTATTATATTATTTAAAAATTTTATAATATCTTTGCATATCTCACCTCTTTAAAATACTCTCTCATCTATTATGATGGATTATTTTTAGAAACTACTCAAAGTATCTTCTTAAAATAATCACAAATATGTTTTGTTTTTAAATTATGTTTATTTTAAAAAATTTAAACAAACATGACAAAAAAAATAGCAAATTAGAGACTGTCTAAAATTTGTCTCAAATGGATAAGAATCAGTCTCTAATTTAAAGATGCATTTCCAAGCATTTTTTAAAATGGGCATTGCTAATTATTTTTTTTCCCCCCCACACTTTATATATAAATATGTCACATGCTCAAATGCTTACAACAATATTTTCAGCTTTCTTAGAGATCCAAACAAATTTTTTCTTATAATATTTCATTTTCCTGAAGAGTTCAAACTAGTAGGGTCCTTGTTATTATTCTACAAACAGATCAATTTAAACATATAAAAGAGAATTATTTTAGATAATTTGATATTTATTTCTTTAAACAAATTACCATCCTTTTTTGGTATTCTGACGCAAAGACAAAACCACCAAATTAGAGTGAGGCACCAAGATTAAAGTTTCTATGTTTGCCATTTTGCTTACTTAATGAATTCCACTTTGATCTTGCCACTTTCGCTTTAATTCTTTCTTAATATCTTCATGTATCCATAACTCTTTATCCACTTTAGATCTAAACTTGGCCATTGCATTTCTTATACTCTGTGACCCTTTGCTATCGCAATGTTTCCTCACTTGCCTATCATTTTGAAGGAGTCATTTATAATGCTCCTGCAATTGCAATTTTTTTTTTTAAAAAAACAATAATGCACATAACAA